ATATGTCTAAAACTAAATAATATACACATGCAAATATTGATGAACTTTGGGTAGAACGAGACCGTTTGACAACTGTTGTTAGAATAAGAGGAGATTTTATCGACCGCGAACAAAATATGTATCTCTTACAATTTCCTAATTTTTTGAAACCAATATAAGTATGTATTAGATTTTATAATGATCGTTATACGATTGTTAATGAAAAGCACCGACATTTTAGAAAACCTTACCACTTCTTTTACATAATTAAGTCTAAAACGACATTATAATATTTGAAATTGAAGTACATTTTCAGGAAAATTGGGAACTTGCATCATGTGCAAATTAGCAGTCTCTATATGATTTTCACACAATTTCCTGTACGTCTATATTAGGTGAACCCATTATCAGTAATTTCCATTCGTTATCCTATTGTTGCACTTATCCTACGTGCTTATTCATGATGTCCATTGTGCTCACAAATTATCGTAAATCTTCAAACAACGTAATGATGAGCATTTGCATGTTATACAATGCTACTTTTCTATGCTCCATGACCGTAAAAGACGGTAATGAGATTTCCAGTATTACCATTCGATGTTTCGCACGTTGATAATCACGAATCATTTCTAAAGCAATCGTATCAAAAAGACATCGTTGTTCACCTTTAAGACGTAATATTTTATGATAACTCAAACTAAAAAAAAATGTATAAATATATATAATTTGACTATATTATTAAAATAATATAATGGTGATTAAGTAGAAGTAAATAGAGAAATTATATAATTTTAATACCAAAACCCATCACTTTGATTAGTGTCATAAATTTGGACTTTTGGGTTAACTAGAAAGGTTACAAACTTGGGCATTATAAAAGGCATGAGAAATAGAGTGTAATGCCCACAAAAAAGCGCAAGAAAGGTTGGGGAAACGAAAGAGAAATCAGGGTTTGAAGTTCGTGAAGGTTTTCAAAGCTATTTTAGAAATTAAGGTATGTCTCTTTGATTTGAGTTTGATTAAGTTGCTTGAGTGGGTTTATAGGATTTTAGTATGTATTTTGGTTCAATCCTATGTCTCTTTTTGGCCAAGGAATAATCGAATTTGGTGAAAAACAAATGTTATGTTTTGTTAAAAGAAATGGTGAATTTAAACTTGCTTTATAATAAGTTATTCAAGATTTAGTATATAAATATGTTAGTATGAAATGGAGATGATTAACGGTGGTTTTATAAATTTTATTTGACAACAGTTTTTAAGTTTTACTGTGATAAAATGGTCGAAAACGTTTTTATTGTTCGGGTAAAGAAGAAAAGAATATGGATATTTTGTTGAAACAGTTTTCTTAATGTTTCAAATGATAAAAATGATATTTATATAAATGGTCCCACTATTGTTGATAAGTTGGCAATTTTAGTTTTTACAAATAGGTAACAAATGTGTTACTGGTGTATCATAACAAAAAAATATAAAAATAGTCCCTCCAGTTTTTATAATTTGACAATTTTTAGTTTTGTACATCATCACACAAATGGTTGTTATTTTAAATTTGCTATTTTATATTGATGTTAATATAACTTATTGTTATTATTCAAACAAAGTCTTTGTTTTAAGGTTTAATTATTTTGACATCTGAGTATTAAATCTTTTGCGGGTAAAACTTCATTAAATGGGAATGATGACATGAAAAGAAAATGAAGAAAAAGATAATAATATTTTTTTATTAAAGTTGTTATGCACATTTTGTTTTATATGATGAAATAATTATTGGTTTACCAAAGGAGACATATGTGTGATGGAACCAAAACAAACACGTAGGATGTTTTCTAGAATTACAACCTTAGAAACTTGTTGGTTAAACGTAGGGTGCATGTCTGCGGGTAGCGTAACGACATCCGGTTAAGACTAACACCATCAAGGTGAATTTTCTCGTATTCTGTGGTTGCTCGCACATAAATGTTTGTCATGCGTTTATTATGTTGTTTTTATTTATTTATTGATAGTATGTTTTATGATAAGTATGGTTGCATACAAAATGTTATTTTGGATTTGTTATCTACGGTGCGTGTTTTTTTTTTGGTGACATGTTTAGTGGGAATGTGTATGTTATTTTGGATTTGTTATCTACGGTGCGTGTTTTTTTTTTGGTGACATGTTTAGTGGGAATGGGTGGGTGTTTAATCGCCGTGAGCATGACGAATATGTGTGATCGGCGGGGATGGGAATTGAGATTTATACTCATTTCCTTGGATATTTAAAATACTTGAGTACAATGGATGATTAGTTGTCTCAAGGAGAAGGGAAATGAATCTTTGGTTCTTTCTCTGGATAATTAATCGTTCCCCTAAATTATATCATCGAGTGATATATTTGTTGTATGATTTATTGTAACTATATGATAAAACTACTTCGTTTTTTTTAATTAATGGACATATATGTGCAACACGAACTCACTAGGCCTTAGGCTTACCCATTTAGAAACTTTAAATGTGCGCAACCCAGGAAACTATTTAGCTAGTGGCAGGGAAAGGACAAGGAGGAGGATTAATCAAGAAGGCAACAAAGGAATTCTGCAAGGACGTAACACCCGAAGCTCTTCGGTTGAAGACTCTATATTTTTTTTTATTTTGCTTCCGCTATAATTTAGTCTATAAGCAAGTTCATATTCGATCTTGGGAGATGTTGGAACGATTATTTGTTATATAATTTATATATGAAAATTGGGGTGTTACATATTTCATATTCTATTGGCAATTCATCATCATCAATCGAGTTACCGGATGTTGGAGACTGAAATTAAACAATATTAAAATACGTATTAAAGAAAGAGAATCTTCCAAAATTAAGAACAACTTGCAGAACAATATCCATAAAAAAACTATAAAGACACAACTAGTCTAAAATAACAGTTTTCTTTAAATTCACTCCAGTCCCATCTTTCAAAGTTCTATATGCTTTTATGCTTTCAATTTTAGTTTTAACACGCTTTCTGATTTCTTTCTTAAGTTTATAGGTGCTCTTGGTGGTTTACTATTTGTTTTGTTTTCTACATCTGGTTATTATTATCTGCCAAAGAAAATCCCAACATAATTATAATCTATTACCATAAAATTATAATATATTTATAACAAAAAATCTGAATTTAGTTTTACATATATTTGGCACATTTTCGAAAGCTCTAATAAATAGAATACAATTTGTTTGTCTATAATAACTATTTTTTTAACGACATCCACACAAATTGACCTTCAGACTAATACAGTTATTGGTTTAATGCATATAAATATCAAAATTGATTTAATAATATCATAAATCAAAATAAACAAATATTGAATTGTTATTCCAGAGCGTCATTCTGAAACATCATCATTCCAGATACTTGGATCTTCGTATTTTGGGTTCCGTTGTTCGTATTCCGGAGTGATAATACCATTATGGAATCATTTCTAATGGCTAAGAAAGAGTTTGGTCCACACTAAAAATCATGTTACACACATTTTAATGTACTTATATGGTGCATATGTGTCCCTAACTAAATAAAATACACATATTACATATTTCAGACTTGTTTTGCGTATTCCGGACATAATATACACACTCTCAAATGCGAAAAATTGTTTGTAAAGGCAAATTATAGTAAATAAAATAGTTGAACTTACCTGGTTTGTTGAATCAATGACCGATAAGATTAAAAAACTACACTTGATTTGATGAATGCATGATCAATAAGCTTAAAAAATTAAACCTGATTTGTTAAATCCATTATCGATAAGCTTAATAAACCAAGTCTAAAATTATGGTAAGAAGAGCTTTGTAACTCCACTTTTGGGATGCCTATTCCGGTTTTGTCGGTGTAAGCCCAACACATATAGATTAGATTACTGTAATGAGCTTGGTCGGTTAAGATCTAGTCATGAATGGTCATTACGGATATAATGGTTAGTTTTCCAAATATATATATATATATATATATATATATATATATATATATATATATATATATATATATATATATATATATATATATATATATATATATATATATATATTGTTTGTTTGTTAGTTAAAATGTTGTTAGATTACTCGATTTCCCTTATATATTAATACTTACATTCTTTTTCAATTAACTTTCATACAATAAAACGATATAATCATATTTTTAAATTAATCATAATTTTGGTTATTGTATTGTTTTATTTATCATACCTTTATGTGTCGTTTTTTTAATCAATAAATCTAAATAAAATCTTATAAGGAGTCTATATTTACAAATTTATTACTAAATAGTTTATAGTCCGTAAAAATCACGTAAAGTTACAAAATTAATTAAACTTTCATAGTAAAAATTCAAATTTATTAATAAATTTTTTTAATTGAATTGTTAATTAAGAAATATTTTTTAGTTATATAAAATTATAATCGTTGATTTAAGTAAATACATGAAACTATATCAAATTGTAATATGTATTAATTTTATTTTAATTTTTATTCTAATGTTATTAATTTAATTTAATTAAAATAAAAATTTTAAAATTTGAAATTTAAATAAATAATATGATATAAATTAGGAAACTTAGTAAACAGTTTAAGCAAAAGGAAAGTAAATCTATTTTTTTAATAGATTAATGATTACTTTTGAAGAAATATTATATCAATGTATTTTTAATTTCGTATTTTAATTAACGTATTTTTAGATATTTTATGTTTTAAGTTTTATAATTTTTAATTAATGTATTTTTTAACTATTATATTTTGTTATTTTTAAATTTATAATTGGTAATTCTTAACTATTCATATATGTGTTTCAAAATATAATGAACTAAATTTTATTAGGTTAAATGGATCGTCAATAGTAAAAAGTTAAATTGAATAAAAACGGAAATATTACAAAAATATATTCATTACAATAAAAATCTGTCCAAATAACCCAATCATAATTGACAAAGATTTAACAATTTTAAAATTGGAATGTGTATTTTCCCTATTTAAAATCATGACCACTCTCGCCATATTAATCTCACCCACGTTAGTCTTTTTATTCGACAAAACCACCCCCAAAACCTCCTTCGTTCCTTATAAATACCCTCCGCAACTCCACCTTCCTCTCCATCTCCATTTCCGAAGAAACTAAGTTACTAACAATGGAAACTGAAAATGTCAACACAACCGTTTCCAAACTCCGACCAAGTCCCTCCCCAGTCTCACATTTCTGCTTCACTGCCTCCCAAATCTGGCTCAGAATCGTCGCCGCCGGCACCTCAATTGCCGCCGCCTGTTTGATGTTCAATAGCCGGCAGTCCAAAGTGCTTTTCGGAACCGATCTCGACGCTCGTTACACCTACAACCCCTCCTTCAAGTACCCACTTCTGTCTCTTGATTCAACTGCAAATTGTGGTTACGATGATGTTCTTTAAGTAATTCGTTTGTTTGATTTTGTTGCCAGGTTTTTTACGATAATGAACGTGGTTGCTTCAGTCTTGTCTCTCTTGTCGTTGCTGCCGGTTTTCTCACTCGGCCGGAAGTTCTCCAACCCCGTCAACTATTTCTTCTTGTTTATACATGATCTGGTAATGTCGATGATCCTTCGTTTTCGCAGTTTAAGGGACAAACGTGATAACTAAGTAATTTCCATAAATAATCTCATTAAAAAGTTTTATAACTTTCCCCAACAGTTAAAAAAACCTTAACAACATATAGTACAATCATTTCTTCAAGATTAATTAGCTCTGCATTTATGATAGACAAAGATCATGATCGAAACTATATTATGTGGTTGAGTTTTTCTTGTTTTGGGTTATATCATGTGGCTAGACACAAACGTAATTTCCCCATACCTAAACTCCAAAGAATCTGTGCCATTTTGGAACCACAAATGTCCTACCTAGGAATGTGGGGCCAACAACATAATCTTTCGAACTTGTATAACGTTGTTGTTGTTGTTGTTGGTTGGTTAATATTATTTAGTATTTGTTTTTTTGCATAGATTCTGACGTCATTAATGGTTGGTGGATTTGGAGCTGCGGCTGCTATTGCTCAAGTGGGTAAATATGGAAATAACCATGCAGGTTGGATGCCGATTTGTGACAACTTCGGGAAGTTCTGTCACAAAGTAATGGCGTCTTTGATCTTGAGTTTCTTATCGACAATTTGTTATTTGCTTCTTACTGTTATATCCGCGAATAAAGCAAGAGAAGTTTCAGATTGAAAAAAATGAGATGTTGTTTTATGTACACATGTGAAATGACTTTAATGTCCCTCATGGAGAGGGGTGCTTGGTTTATGTGGACTTAGTGAATTGTAATCGATAGTAAGTTAGATGTTTTTAAATGAAATAGTTTGTTTTATATGATGAAAGTAATTCAAGTTCATTCTTTAGTAAAGAATGGTAATGATAGATATTGTTAAAGACAATATATAATTCTTTGATAGCGATGCTATTGATCCATTAAGTCGTATACGGGTGTTTATATGTTGAAAGAAGTCTAGGGTAACTATGGACACCCTGATCGATAACCTAAAAAATAAAAAAAGTCAAATGAGTCGTTAAGAAATATACATTTACCTTTAGACAAAATTAAGCTATTTGTAGAAAAGTATGTATGACACTCATAGTTTTGAAGGGTGAGGTAAAAATAACGTGTAGAAAACTATGCTGAGTATGACACTTAAAACACTTGGTTACTGTTGTTTTAAACATTGGTCCAGTCATTTTGGCTCTTTTTAATTGTAAAAAGATGTTTTTGTTTTCTTTTTGATTTGGTTTTATATTTTTTTTAAATGGCTTTTAATTTTAGTTGATTGCAAAAAAAAAAAAAAAAAAAAAAAAAAAAAAAAAAAAAAAAAAAAAACCTATCAAGAAATCCGTCCAACATTGTGTTCATTTTCACCCATCTTTTTTCAATAAACAACACCGGCACCACCTTTCAACCACCGGCAAACTCCATCCATCTTCACCTCATCCGACGCCGCCTATCCAAACTCTAACGTCGCCATTATATTAGAACAACCACCATGAACATCTCACTATCTCAGATCTGGAAACGCTGATCTCGTGGAGAATAGCACCATTTAAGTGTGTGTGTGTGTGTGTTCAAGTGTGTTTGTTTGTGTGTGTGTGTTTGAAGAATAACACTTTCATATGCAAGTGATAGTGACGGCAAACGATGGTGGAGGCGACGCTCCTGATTGAGATCCGTTGCGATAGAGGAGGTTGTAGAGAGGTGACGTTGTGTAGGCGACGGTGTAGAGCGGCAAAGGAGGATGGGAGTCTGATGGTGGCACATTAGCGGTGATCGGAATAAGGCCGGTGAGTGGCTAGTCTTTAGCGGTGGCTGAAATAAGATCGGTGGTGGTGGTGGTTAACTACATTTGTGGTTCTTGAGAGAGAAAGAAATGAAGGTGAAAGATGGTGAGTAGAGTTAAGGTTATGTGTTTTTTTGATAAAAGATTATTTTAAATTTTAAAAATACAATAAATTAATAAATAAATTTAATCATGGTAAAAGGATCAGACAAGCACAGGAGATACAACAATTTTCGATACTATGTCTATTTTGATAGACAACTTGGACTAATCATATAATTTTATCTTACTTTTACTTGCCATAAGTTTTTAAGAAAAACATCTAAATAGAAACAATCCTCACTTAATAATACGAATAAGCATTGAGATATTTACATTCATGGAGCCATATTAATTACATAATTATTTACTCAATCATATTTATTACATAACTATTTACTTTAAATGAATTTCCATAAATAATTGAGTCTAATTAAATGGTTCTTAGCTTAACAGTGTTAAGCATGGTTGTCAAAATCGCGATCCTGATCGTAGGATCGTACAATCCTACGATCCTACTTATGAAAAATGATCCGGGTCGTAAAAGGATCGTATTTGGAGTAGGATCGCAGGTAGGATCGTAAGATCGTAGGTAGGATCGTAGGATCGAGATCCGATCCGATCTTACCTTCCTTTATTTTTTTTTTATTTTTTTTTTTGCAAATGAATTTTTTTTAACATTTTATGTCTTTTACACTTACCAATCTACCATTTATCATTTTTTATTGTAACTTATGATTAATATTTTGAAGTTTTTATAACTTTTGAAAGAAAAATAAATGTTTGAAATATTTTTCATGATTAAATATTATAAACTAATTTTTTTTTCTTTTTTTTTTAAATGAAACTTCCCTAACGAGGGTTGTCGGGCCAGCTTTCGCGTACCGGCTAATCCCCCGCTCCAAACATAAAGCTTTGGCTCATGCCCTGGAGTCACTGCAGACGAACCTCCATGACCACAAGGGCTGAGTGGTGCTAGGATTTGAACATGGGTCAATATGTTATCCACCATATCTTCCATATATTCTATTTTGTGGGATCTTAGGGTCTCAATCCCGATCTTACGATCCCGATTTTGCAAACCCAAAAACGATCCTAGATAGGATCCCGATCTTGACAATCTTAGTGTTAAGTTTTATTTATTTATTTATTTATTTATTATTATTATTATTATTATTATTATTATTATTATTATTTTTGACATTGAGAGAGTTCGAAGTTTATTTGAACATGGGTGAAATTAAGAATAATTTAGAAGAAGATTAATTTGCCATTAAAAAAACAAACAAAAAGTATATATAAAAAATAATAATTATAAGAATTATTTTAATCATGTGAACTGATATTAACTATGTTAGGTATACTAAAATAATGTAATTGATATAAATATGAGAGTTTAAACGTAAAACACTAAATGTTTTATTTTGTTTAAACGCATTAAAGAAATAGATGTGAAACATAACTACGTTATCATCCGATCTCCTTTTCTACATTAAATAAAGGTTCTTGTTCAAAAAAACACTATATCACTTATCCAAGACACCTAGGTCACTTCATTTTTTGCATACTTGATACTTTAATTTATTAAACATTTCAGAACTAGATTTTTCCTTTAAATTTTTCTAAAATTTCTGTATTTTCAAACTTTTCATATATATATTAATCACTATAACCGGTTATTAATTCAACTTTGAAAAGAAAAAACGTTTTAAAATTTTCCAATAAGTTAATTAATTTACTTGTTTGAGAAAGTTCGTAGACAAAAAAAAAAAAAATGTTGTCGTGACAAAAACTTTTAAGTAAGCATTTAGGCCGTTATCATGTTCACGCATGATCCAATCCGATACACTCAGTATCTTAGCCAACTATCTTGTCGCACCTCACTTTCAAGTCATTCGTATTATCTTTAATACGATTAAATTCATCCACGGAACTATTAAGAAATATAATTATTAAGATAATTAATTTTTCGGTTTATTTATATCTTGGTAAGTTTTTTTATATAAATTCAGATACCAAACTTTTTGAAAGTATTAAGGTATGATTAAGAAATAGAATTATTAAGGTAATTAATTTTTCGATTTATTTATATCTTGGTAACTCTTTTTATATATATTCAGGTAACTAACTTTTTAAAAGTATTCACGTATAACAATTATGATTAACTGCACTAGTTTATATTAGATCATAACAAGTCATAATGGTCATATGCCAATATTTTTAAAAAGTTTGTTATATATATATATATATATATATATATATATATATATATATATATATATATATATATATATATATATATATATATATATATATATATAGCCAAATGTGAACATAACGAAAAATGTAATAGTAATTTACACGAATTTTCCTTGTGGTTTGGGTAATTTGTGATTTTGGTTCTTAATTTATTTCTTAACTTGGATGATCCCTATTTTTTATTTTTGTTGTACGTTTGATCTTTGTCTTACCTCAAAACATTATCTTGCCCTTTTAATTTATTTTTTTAATTAATTTTCTTCTTAATGTATTTATTTTTTATATATCAAAAAAAACTAATAGACCCTATATATATATATATATTATATATATATATATATATATATATATATATATATATATATATATATATATATATGTATTTTATCACCCTAAACCTGAAATCATATTTGATATATTTAAGTTGGATCCCAGCAGTTACCATCACATCTCTCATTCTCCCCAACTTCTATTTTATTTTCATCTTTAATGACATCGACATTTTCATCGTCCTTTTTTTTGTCATTTAACTTCGGCGAACAAACACCATAACATTTTTATTGGGTTTGTGGGATCTATTATTTTTTTAAAATATATAAAAAATAAATACATAAATAAGAAAATTAATTAAAAAATAAATTAAAAATGACATAATAGTCTTTTCAGCTAAGACAGAGACTCAACGCAAAAGAAAAATAAATAATAGAGATCATCCGAGTTAAAAAAAATAAGTTAGGGACCAAACACAAATTCACCAAACTACAGGGACTATTCGTGTAATTTACTCTTACATTTTCGATATGCTAGCATCTGGGTAACTATTTTTTTTAAACATCTAGGTAACGAACTTTTTGAAAGTGTTCACATATGACCATTATGATCGTTTATGACCGGATGTAACCTATTACAGACGGTCATAATGGTCATATGTGAACGCTTCCAAAAGTTCGTACGTAGATTTACAAAAATAAATAGTTACCCAGATGTGAACATGTACATCCATAAAAATCATGTCAAATTTAAACTTTTTAAAAACATTTAGAAACCAATAGTTATTACAAATTTGTTTTCAAAACAGTTCTATATCAGAGGATCCCATAAACATAGTCATAAAATGTGAGGTGCTTTACGATCACGCTTTGCCTTCTTGCGATCATTTAAGGTACCTGAAACCAAAACTGATACTGTAAGCCCAAAGCTTAATGAGTTCCCCCAAAATACCGATACATAACAAATAGCACATATACAAATAACAACATGTAATGGGTCCACAACTTTAAAGACTGGATTACCCCTACCCCCACAATATGAGTCTGACTTGCCTTCCGGGCCCACAGCTCACATCTGGCCTACCACCGAGCCTACAGTACGAGTCTGGCATGCTTTGACCGACCCTTAGCTCGTATCTAAAATGCTCCTAAGCCCACAGTACGAGTCTGGCATGCCCTGCCCAGCCCTCAACTTATATCAGGAATGCTCTTGATTCCTCAATATGAGTCTAACATGCCCTGGCCGACCCTCAGCTCATATCTATAATACTCTAGGGTTTGTTGGCAACCGCACGGAGCTGTACAACCTGAAACCATCCCACATAACATGTCGACATATAACATAACTGATGCACATACAAATAATCAAGTAGTAACACAGGTAGTCCTACAGATCTATGAAACTGGTATAACAACTAGCATGCATAACTAATTCATACTCAACATAAGACCAACTACTAGGATGTCAGATTCAATGGGCCGACATTGGTGCCTTCAACCCCTTTGTATAGTGTGGATAACTCACCTCACAACTGTCGAACTGAAGTGATAAGCTCAAACTCTCGAATCACAGCCACGAACTCCACCACCTATATTTACCATAAGACCATTTCCATAAATTTCCAAATTACCAACATACTCCCAGAAGTCAAACTAGTCAACCCTTTGGTCAAAGTTATGGTCAACAGTCAAGGTTAAAAGTCCATGTTGACCCAACTCGTCGAGTGCAGATCACTGACTCATCGAGTCCTTCCAAAACTCGAGAATTCATGAAACCCCCCAATTGACTTGTTGAGTTTCCAGACAACTCGTCGAGTCCATGCGTGGTCACAGTCGAGAAAACCCTAACTGACTCGTCAAGTCATCCCGCTGACTCGCGGAGTTCACGTAGAAACCCTCAATACTAATCTTCATCGGACATGCCGAGTTGG